CAGAACTCATTTGATTCTTTCAAGAGAGTCAGGGGAGAAAAACTGATGCATATTAAACAACCATTTTCTATCTAACTGAGCCCTGTGAAGAGGCTCTAGTCTCTATTTTGCAATAGCTCCATTTAAGAACATAAGATGACAGGGCTGTGTCACTGAATCCAGTCCCCTGCAATTGCAGACAACCAGTTACCCAAGGGGACCCCAAAATCACGGGGAAACCCGCCTCCACGACTTTAAGGGCATGCTCCCCAAAACACCAAGAACCCCCTGCAATATGGCACAGCTAAAAGGAGGGGAGATGAGGGCACTGCCAGTGCTTTGCCACTGCAGTGACAGCAAAGTAATTGGGTAACGTATACTCAGGGGATCCTCAGAAGACGACTTTGCCCTGTGCAGAAATCGCTACAGCCTTTGCCTTTCTGACCCCAGGTTTGGCCCTTGGTATGACCCTGAGCAGAAAAGCAAGACCCTCTAATCAAGAACTCCTGAGCTTTCCACTTTCCACCAGGAGCATGAATACATCTCAGCCTTGGGGTGATATTTTTTTAGCATGAAATCCTCTAAAATACAGGAACAAGTTGAATCCACTATTTTAGAATTATGTAGGGAGAAAACTCCCTCCTTCCTATAAATGTACCTGGCCCCCAGAAATCGCAGTCTCTGCACTCATGATTGCAAAGCTACGGGCCTGAGAAACCAGCTATGTGGAGTCTGGCTGTTTCTTTGCAGCAAGTTGAAGGGAGGTAGTGGGGTATGTGTGGAGCGTTCATCAGTTTGGCTGTTCAGGGGTGTTACTGGAGGTGGCTGCAATGGGTGTTTTTGCAGCCGTTGAACTGGAAGCTATTTTTTGTTTGTTTGCTGGCTGTGCTGTTGGTGGCTGGGAGCCTGAGTGCCAGTGAACCTCAGCCAGACCCCCCAAGAGTGATTTATTCATTGCACAAACGCCGCAAACCCCTGGCAGGTCCTTGCGGGGGACCACCTACAGGTGCAAGACTCCAGCTTGCAAACTCTTCTGTCTCGGCTCGACAGTGACATCTCTCTGACAGTCAGAGAACGACCACCCTAAGGACATTACAATTCTTCCTAGACCAGCCTTGCCCTGCAAATAATTCAGGCCTGATAGGGGTCATTCTTGTTCCAACAGCACACAGTTCCCTACACCCCGGACCATATCCTCAGCTGGTATAAAACCACAGGTATCACCCGGATGAGGATCTTTCCCTTTGCAATTTGAACCCCCTATTGCAGGGCAGAGGGAAGGCACAGGCTCAGTGCTAAGAATATTGCTTCCCAGGCAGAGGAGCTGCAGAGCACCAGTTTTATGGTCATATTTTAGGGTCATTTAATTGTTGCGTCATGATGCTGATTAAGGCAGATCCTGTTGCTTGTTTAGAAGCAGCTGCTGAGACCTCTCTCGAGTCAACAGCAGCCTCAAGTCCTTGATATAACTTGATTTCCCAGGCCTAGTTCACACATGTGATTATTCTTTTTTTGATTTGATCATTAATTGAAAAAGACTGAATGCCACAGCCCGTGACCCCATGCAAATAGGATCAACATGAAAAAACAGTACACGCCAAACATAATGAAAATTCCCTGATGCACAGCGTAAAACTTGTATTTGCATAACTGTATACACCTCCATAAATACAGAACAGGTAATCAGATGTTCGAATAAAAGTAATGCAATGCGGCACTTTCATCTTCTGAAAATGTTGAATATATTGGCTCTTGTCCAGGAGAGAAGTGGGGCAAATTCTGGGCTGAGTGTCTTTTAATACCAGTTCTCCTCATCTCAACACTTCAACTTTAAGTAAAATCTGTATTTCTTATTGTAGCTGTACAAGTTTTTTTTCAAGCAGAGCACCAGGCGCCTGTCACAGTCACAGGACTGCTCCGTACACCAGGACTTGTGCCCTGCAAACAAACAGAAATAGGAAAAGTGTGTGTCAGTAGAGGCTCTTTGAGTGGAAAGATGAACAGTGTTAGCAGTTGATAGAAGATGGCCCCATGAAATTATGGTAACGCATGCGTTGTTGAAGAATACTTAACACTACCTATATCAGCAGTGGCCTTAGGGTTGTTGGGGCACTGGGCAAGAGAGTCACTTGGGGCCCCTTAGAGGTATGTACTCAGGTTATATTAACCTATCACAGTTGTATCGTGGATCTTTTAAATATTCTTTGGGGGAACTGGATAAATAGTCGAGTGTTAAAATGCAAATAGAGCCACTTCCTTGTAAAAACTTTACCCCACCACCAGAAAAATTTGGGCCTCCGGGCGGTACCTTGGTTTGCCCTCCCCTAAGGCCGCTACTGCCTGCATGTTAAACAGCCTGTTATCTATTATAGTTTCACAGGCCAGATCTGTGTGCATGTATAAACTGCATATTAATAAGTTGACTAAATGAGTTAAAAAGAACTGAAGAATGCCTACCAAATGTTGAAAGGGAAAATGGAAATTATACTCAACAACAACTTAAGTTCTTTTTCTGGAGGAAACATTTCTGCATTGGAAAATGCCAGCATGTGCTCTAACATGATGTAAGTTTGTGATACTATAGTCTAGCAGCCAGCTTCCTCCCTGAGGAGCTTGTACACATTTGAACCAGGATACAAATGGAAAAAAACACCCCCATCCTGGCTCTATTCACTGAACATCAGCAAAGAAAATAGCCGTGTTCAAGCTTCCAGCCAGACTGTAGTATACTGCATGCTATTTCTCCTGTTCTGTGCATGCTCAGGAAAAAACTTTTCATCTCTAAGTCCCATGGAGCCCTGGTTTCTAACTGATACCACCATAATTAATCATTAATTAACACAAGTCTTTTTTTTTTTCCTTCTGTAGCCACTTGCTTCTAGGTGCTAGAAAAATTCCTGTCCCTGTTGGCTTGCTGGTCTTTCTAAATGCATGGTGCCTATGAGAATTCAGCATACTTCCCTTTCAAGCACAAATCTCAAATGTTACCTGTTGTCACCCAGAAGCATTTGTCATGTTTTTTTCTGTGTACATCAATTTAAGCACTGAGCAAAGCTCACTGGTGAGCAGTGACTGGTGTAAATTTGTTTTGTCAAATCCAGCAGTTAAGCGTGTTTATAAATTCATATTTAGTGAGCATGACTCTAAATAACCAGGGGAACTGAACGTGGTATGATACACATGTTGAAGGTATTCAGAGATGTAAACCCCAGCTGGCTGAGAGTTTTTTAGGGAAGTGGGGGTTTTTTGGCAAGTGCCGTTTCATTGAAAATATGATCATTTACAACAAAACATGTCAATTAATTTCCCATTTGAAAAACGAAAGTCTTGAAGTAGTTGACATGCTATTTTGACCTCTGTAAAAATGCAGACGGTTCTTTTTGAGGTTGGAGCGCTATGTTGTTTGTTCGCTTCCTCTGCTAGTGTCTGTTCACAATGCACCTGCACATCTCTCCAGCTTAACTCCCATGTAAATCCAGCTCTGTCAGACCCTCTTACTGCCACCTCCCAGATCATCCTGTGGATTTCTCTTGCTACCCTTGTCACAGCAAATAGGATTTATGCTTCTTTTCTCTTTTCCTGTTACTGCGACTCAATGTGGGGCTTTCACAGCTACCTTTGCATTGGAATTCTGGTCCAAGAAGAAATGTTAAGACACATTTCCTTATAATCAGTGAAGCCTGATTTCAGAAAACATTACAACTCAGGACTGCACTTAAGTGCACTCTTAAAGTCAACCATGTACTTAAGGACACCTTTATGGCCTGAATCCCCCCTGGTTAAGCTAGTGACTGCCAGTGACCTATTTTCATATTCCTCATGCATCAGAGCAAAAAACTCTGGCTTGCTGGGCTCAGGATACAGAGTTTAAAAAGGCAAAAGGCAAAGCAGTCTGCTGATCTAGGAGCAGAAACAAACCCAAATGTGCATCTTGCTAACCACCAGCCAACTCACCACATAATACTGATCCATATGAGTAGTAGTACTTATAGCTTACTATTTTGGCACAACAGCCAAAATACTTAAGCTGTTGATAGCAGGAGTCATGAATCTCGCAGCATCTGGGGAGAAGCAAGACTTTAGCAGTGAGACATATGGGAGAGACAGGTTTAAAACACAAGTCAGAAAACCCTCTATTGACTCTTCACCAATGTACACAAAAAGGATGTGTGTTTTGGTGCTGTCGCCAGGATTTTCCTCTCGCTTCCATTGGTGTAAATCAGGAACAACAGGGTGAAGTACAGTGGTTTAGGTTCTTAGTTTGATTTACACACAAGTGCATAAATAGGCATGCACACACACACTCCCAACTGCGAAGGCTACCCAAAATAAGCTGAGCACCCAAGGAAAGTGCAGCTATTATGTTTGTTCTCTTTGGTGTCCTTCAGGCAAGTTTGTAGCGCATGTTTCAGGCATCTCCCCCGATACCTTGCGCAGAAGTTTCTGTGTTGCTGAGTCCTTATTGAAATACCCAATGCATTGAAAACTTACCTGAAAATCCAAAATACCTTACCCAGAGACAGGCTGGCAGACAGATGTTCTAATGATGGCGTTTCCCTCTCTTAACCCTTCACACCACCATGGAAATCCAGAGGTTTTGACTGCAGTGGAGCAATGCCCATTTACACTATCTGAGAGTTGGGCCCATTGCATTTACATGATGGGTAGCACTTTTGGGTAAATATAGATGTGGGTTACAATCTTCAGCATCACAAACTTTGATTTCTAGCAATGCAATCAGTGAGAGCTAAGGGCCTAAATACCTTCCAAAATGTGGCCCTTAATCACTTCATGAGACATTTTTCAAGGGATTTAGGATCCCAAGAGACAGGTGGATGCTTAGTGGGATTCGAAAAGAAGTGCCTACCACCCATTGATTTCCATGAGAGAGAAGAGTCTAGTCGTCTTTGAGAATCCCACAAGGTACCTATGAATATCACTAAAAATCTGCCCTTAGGACCTTTAAATAATGAGATTGCTCACTAATGTTTCCAGCAGGGTTTCCAAAGGCACTTACTTACCTGTCTGTGGGATCTTTTGGATGTCCTTTGCCACCCAAACCACAGTAGCAGCCATAGAAAGCATAATTCAGGACGGCATTTTTCCCAGTGACTTCTTTAATCATACTCTGAAGCTGCCACATACTCCCGTGTGCCACGATTGCGCCTGTGAAACAGCAGGAGGGAACTTCAGCATTGGGAGGGGAGATATCACTTCTTCCTCTGCTTTATATTAAATCACTTTATGAGCTCTTTGGGACTATGTTTCCTTTTGCTTCACCATCTTTTAGATGCCACCAGGCCCCATCACCCCACATGCCTCCTTTTACTTGTGTAAATAGGGATCATCTCCATTGCTGTCAGTCTTGTTACATGTCTCACAGAAGCAAGAGATGAGTGGGACCTTTTGTCACTTTTCTCCCTAATGCACAAGTAGGGAGGACCGGTCCTGTGGGCCAAAAGACTACCAGGAGAAGTAGTTTAAATCACTGGCTATGTCTCACTTGTTCTGGTGCTCATTCCCTTCCCACCCACTATCACACCGAGCCCAACCCCACCTCATTTTACTAGCTCTGACAGCCAGAACAATCTCCACCTGAGCTACCACAGACTATAAACTGCAGCTTATTTTAGGGAACTATGAGCACACATTTTCCCTTGGCAAACTGCATCATCAGTTGAGGCCACCTTCTCCCTCTTAAAGAACATGCGGGCCACCAGGATGGGTCCACTGGATGTTGCACGGGTCTGGCTACCTCACGCAGGGGAATTTAACTTACAGGTCGGACTCTCTGTATTCAGAAAGAGTCTGACCACACCACTAATGGCATTGAGTTGCATGGGTCTGGCTACCTCCTGCAGGGATTTTAACTTACAGGTCGGACTCTCTGCATTCAGACAGAGTCTAACCACACCACTAATGGCATTGGGCTAATAATGCAGCTTAAAGGAGAATTTGACCCATGTCTGTTGAATTTGGAAGCAGGTGTTGTGGCAAGTTACTATACTTTTCAGACAGCTTTTAGGCAAAAGTAATTGGAGAAGGATAAGGAATTAGTGGGCCTGATTCTGATCTTCCTGATTTAACAGTGATATAATCCTACTGGCATCAAGGGATTGACACCTTTTTTTGCACCACTTGAAGTGAGGTCAGGAACTGGCCCAGTGAATTTACTGCACACTTACCAAAAACAAGTATGCTGAGTGCAAAGAGATGCTTCATGTTTCTTCAGGCCCTGGAAAAAGTAACAAGTACATGCTGATCTAGCAATCATTCAGGCAAAGGACTCAATGACAAACTGTTCTCCTGAGTAAGTGGGCAGTTTTGGTCATTATACAGGAAGCAACCGAAAGGCTTGCTTGAATGCTGGGAGCGGTGGAGCTTAATAACACTGATCCAAGTCATTGTGGTGCAGCTTTAGCCTCCAAGCTTAAACCATGATCGGCAGCATTCAAAAGGACGGCATGAGACCTGGGCTGCTCTTAGATTCTCTCTGGGTTTTTGTGAGACTTCAGCATTGTATCAATCCTCAGCATAGCATCAGCTCAGTGTGTGTGGGTGAATCTAACAAGATAGGGTTAGCACTTTCCATGTTGTCTCCCTTCTGGTAATGTGCTTTGTGGTGGTGGCTGGCAAAGGAGACAGCTCAGATGTGAAGAGGCTGATGTCCCTCTAGACCTTTGGCACGGTTCCTGGGAATGGGATCTATTACTTTAGAGCAAAGGTGGATCAGCAGGAAAAGACCTCACCCTCTGGCTCTGTCTCCAGTGTTCATACTGCACTGCCTTCCTCACCTTGCCTGAAGCCAGGGCAGCCTCTGCCACGCCACTTGTGCCCACCCCAGATCTTCTTTGCTCCCTAGGATGTTGCCTTTAAGACTTCCTTGCAGTTGAGAAAAGGCTTTGACTGGTTCCAGTTTGGGATCATCTGATAGACATTCTCCCCATGGACCTCAAAGGCCCCAGGCAGGTTCTCAGCTGTGGAGCTGGATGCATCCAATGGGATGAGGGACTCTGCTAACCAGTTAACACCATTTTGATGCCCATTCTTAGGTGCTAGATGCATCGGGCCAGTGTAACCCACACTGGTTGCAGTGTGGTTGTACCAGGGGCCAACCAAGCCCAGTGCCAGTAATGAGTGATCCGTCTGCTAACCTCCGGCTACAACTTCTCAGGTGTAGTATTAGCCATTTGGAAAGGAATTGAACAATAGTAGTAAAATACCATTGATTGGTCTTTACTCACCTCTTCTGGGGTTGGGGTAATCACTGCTGCTCCTTCTAATTCCTAATCTAACCGATTTGGTTTATATAGACAGATCTGTTTCCTCCCCCACCCACAGCGGTGCTGAGTGGCCACTATTTAATACATATGTTTAATAGATCATCTGCTGACTGGGATTTTCTGCAAAAGAGAATTTCTCCTTTTTTAGGAATCTATTCTCCTTTTCTAGAAAACAAAAGTATTTCCCTTGATCTACAACAAGGTATCTGTTTCCCACGCCCAACTGTTCTCTGGTGGCCAATCTGCAAAGAGTCTGTAGATCAGGCAGTAATTGTACAATGAAGAGTTTTCCCGCACTGAATTCTGTTCATCTCAGACCCAAACCAAACCCAGTTGATATCAACCTGGACACTGGCACTGGTTTGAAGGCCATTGGAGCAGACCCCTGAAAAGGAAGATAAAGGAAGGGTGGCTGATGAGTAGCCCTCTTGCTATTAAGGTTGGGGTCCTTCATGGGATCCATGTCTTGAAACACCCTTACCTACCTGGAGATCACTTGGCACTTATGCAAGGCTGTGTTTTGAAGAAGCTCTACTGTCTAATTATACCTCAACAGATGGCTTCTATTTAAAGGGCTTTTGCCCCAACTCCTTACAGTTGTGACACAGGAACTGAAGCCTTCTGCCCATCTCAGGACCTGGATGGGAGGATGACCTGAAGAAGGGCATGGGAAATCATTTGGGGAACGGCACAATACATGATGCCTGATAGCTTAGAATCACTGAATCATAGAAAATGAGGGTTCAAAGGATGTCAGGAGGTCACCCCCCTTCTCAAAGCAGGGCCATCCCCAAGGGGATCATCCCAACCATGGCTTTGTCTATCTGGGTCTTAAAAAGCTCCAAAGATGGAGAGTTCACAACCTCTCTGGCTAACCTGTTCCAGTGTTTTACTACCCTCCTAGTGAGAAAGTTTTTTTCTAATATCTAACCTAAACTTCCCTTGCCACAACCTGAGCCCATTGCTCCTTGTTCTGTCACCTGCCACCACTGAGAACAGTCCAGCTCCGTCCTCTTTGCAACCACCCTTCAGATAGTTAAAGGTTGTTATTAAATCTCCTCTCAGTCTTCTTTTCTCTAGACTAAATAAGCTTGTCCAACTCTTCTTCTGACTATACTGGTAAAAGATACCATAAAAATCCCTCACTTTTCATACACCTTGTGGACCATTATGGCTGCAAAACACTCCAACCCTTTGACTACATGCAAATATGTCATCTGTAACAATTAGCAGAAAACCCAAAGTGAGAAGAGCCCCTTTTTGTTCTCCTACTAATTCCAACCAAGCCCAGTGGTTGCAAGAACCGTAGAAAATATTTCTGGAACTCCTCGTTGTCATTGTCTGGGCCTCAGACAATTGGATTTCCCTCAGCTCAGACCAGAAGTATGGACTTCCCTCTTTTATTGTATGGCAAAGTATGCACCCAAGGCCAATGATGCCCTGAATGCCCCAACACAGCTCAGGCTGAGACAGCAGATGGAGATGGAGAAGTTCTGTAGCTGACTCTTATTATTATGGTGAGAATACATTTTGATGCTCAAGGACCTAGGTCTGAAATGTTGTGAGAGTCTCGTATTATTTACAATAGCACTGAAAGGCTTTTTTCCCCACTGGAAATCAGGGCTCTATTCTGTTTGGTGCTGTACATACATATAGTAAAAGACTGCCTTTCCATAGACAGGACAGACAAAAGTTTCCCTCTTGGTTACCAGTTCTTTCCTGCTATCCCTTGGAAGGAATGCAGGAGATACTGATATCTGGCAGGGGTATAAATTGAAAGCCTTAAGCCCTTTGTGCCCCACTGTATTGCCTGCAGGACCAGTTGTGTGAACCCAGTCCCACTTAGGGAGTCACACTGGGCCAGAGCAATAGTCTTGGTGCTGCTGTTGCGGTATAAAAGGCCTTTAAGGGGCTTCAGAAAATTCCCCAGCATGTCTGGATTTATACTGCATTCTGGTTTCTGTAGGAGATGGGGAAAGGTTGTGATGAGGTGGGTCGAATCTGGAATGGGCTTTCAAGGGAGGTGGTGCTCTCCCCTACCCTGGGGGTCTTCAAGAGGAAACTGGACAAGCACCTGGCTGGGGTTGTCTGACCCCAGGGCTCTTTCCTGCCCAGGGCAGGGGGTTGGGCTCGATGACCTACTGATGTTCCTTCTGATCCTAACATCTATGAATCTATGTTTGCTAGGCTGGAAGGAGGAGGAACCAGACCATCCACTACTCTGGTCTATCCTTCACCAGTAAAATGGACCTCAAGGTCCCTTCTTGGCCACCGCTGGAGAGGTGACTTTCACCCAATACATTCCATCACAGTCAGGACATATTTTCCCCATGAGTCTCTATATTCTCTCTCCCTTTTTTCCCCTCCTCCCATCAAAGAAAGATCTCCCAAGGGTTCCAGCTGTGCCATTATTAATATTATTGTTGTCACATCAAGATGGAGGGCAAGGCTCTGACCCAGCTGAACAGCTAATCAGGCACACCAAGGGGAAGCCTTCTCTCTGTGCTCACACCAGGAAGCCCTAAGACACTGGTGATCATTTTCCAAATGCTTCTTATCAGTTGAAACCCAGTGATATCACTGCCCATTGGATGGGTCTGCACAGAGAGACCTTTGTTCGGAAGCTCCACAGGCACCAGCACAGGGGACTTCCTCCTGCTCATTGCAAAACAGGTTTCTGTGAAACAAAGCATAGAAGTCTGCCTGGGTCTGTGCTATAAGTTCTTAGTTATTTATTTCACATTTACCCTATGGTTTGCATATACACATCAAGGGGTAGATCCTCAGCTGGCATGTATCAGCAGAGCTAGAGGAAGCTGCAGTATTCCTACGTGAGAGCCACCCTTTCCTCCGGGTGCAAGCCGGCGAAACCCTGGAG